GGTCTGTCTTATTTAAGAAACGTAAAAATGTTTAAAGACGTGTGAGTCAAGTCAAATAAAAAGAAAATATTATTTACGACACTCTTTGAAGGAAAAACGAAAAACTTTCATGTTTCATATGGATGGTGTTTTTAATATAAATGTAAACAATAACAATCTCGGGCTCAATACCTGCTCTAGTTCCGGTTAGAAAGTTTGCAACTGCTTACTGCAGTTTATTCTGAGAGGCGATATTTTCAAACGGATAATTTTGTCTTCAATAAAAGGAGTAAATTAAATAATTTCTGACCTCAAATCTGCCGTATTTTACAAAATATTAATGTTGTTAAGTAATTCTGGTGAGTTTGTTTTTGCGTTCAAATGTGTTTTATTTATCCAAATTTATATTCTTAGCACAGAGATTCGTCGAAAGGATTCTGTAACAGAAATAGTTTCTTTGTAATTCACATTCACTTACTTGTATTACATATAATTTCAGAAATAGAAACGCTACCTCATCATTTTTCCATCAATAAGTGCTGTTGGTGGTCTATTCTTATATCACATTGACAGTTTGCTGTACCAAGAAACTATGAACTATTCCTGAAGTACTTTAAAACTAATACTTTGATTATGGACTTAATTGAGTACCCTGTATAATAATAATAATTCTAGTCAAGAAGCAACAAGAAGATACATTTTCTATTTTAATGATATAGATTCTTGATGGAAGGAATCAAAGGGCAGTTTAAAAAATTTTTATCAGTTGTAATTTACAATAACCTAATAACTAATTGTTTAGCCAGGTATTATAAAATAAGTCTATTATATTTAATTTACCAAAGAAGCAGTCCCACATAAATATTTTTTAAGAGGGTTTCTTTTCCTTCAATTACTAATAGAAAATTACTCTTCAAACCTCAGGGGCCATTATTAGGCATTAACACTGTAAAAAATCATCAACCTTTGAGGGGGTTTATCTTCTTTAGATAATTGCTGGTTTTATGAACCCACGCCTTTAGAAATTTTGAACAGTGTTAATCAATAATATCGTGAAGTCCCTGAAAGCTTAATAAAGTAAGACTGCAGCAATTTTGCACAATATGAGTCCAGGCACAAAGTTGAATTATTTTTTTATGTTAAGTTGAATTACTTTTTTTGTTAGAGTAGATATCTATTGGTGATCTTTTTTTTCTTCTGTACTAGTTTTTATTCTTTTATTTTTGCGTCAAGCATAATTAAGCACAATTTTCTTTTGTCCCCCGGTCTGGCACCTGCTCAATCTAATGCTTACTTTCATTACTTTTTCCACCTGCTTGCCCCACCCCCTAGCTGATCAACAGCGTGATTTCATCTTGTCCCAATTTTATAACTTACTAACCTTTTTATTAATTAATTAACTTTTAAAAAAAAGTGACGTCTCTGACGTACTAATTACCTAATTTTTATGTTTTATTTGTTACTTGTTTTGTGTTGTCCTTTCCTTCTTCTTCTTTACCTTTCTTTTAATAAACTACTAACTCCTAAATTAACTAACCAACTAATTTTAATCTCACAGGTCTTGATTCAATAAATATTTCATAATGTACAGAAGTGGCCTCATTGGCCAGGTACTCCATCTTTTTTTTAGTTTCTGCACAATTTAATTTCGTTTAAAAACTTGATGTCGGTACAAATTTGATAAAGCAGGAGCTTTATCTTGTAACATCATCAAAAGAAGATAAACCGCTTGATTAAAATAAACTACAAGAAGTCATGCTGATTCTGCGAAAGTTTGGAAAAAGAAAAAATACATAATTTTTAATTTTATCATTAAGCATTTCAAATAATTTATTTTCGCTTACACTAACGGATTCAAAAGTATAAAAAAATTTATCACCGAAATATGTCGAACAACCATTAATCGTCAATTTTCACTTTGCTTTTAAGCCTGGTTTTAAAAACATTTCGGTTTCTTTCGTTTTTCTTTAATATAATTCTTTAATATATTTTCTTTAGTATTTAGTATAATTCTTTAGTATATTTTAAATTATTTTTAAATATTGAAGAGGAAAAGATAATTTTTAGGATCAGCTGGTCGGATAAACTGTTATAAATTGTTAGTTTTTAGTCAATTACGAAGGTAAAAACGAAGTAAAAAATATCGGCAAGAATTTTTATAAATTGTTTTTTAGCAAAATCTTTCATAAATCGTTCAATTTTTTGTCTAAAAATATGCATATTTTTGGCACATATAAAATATGCATATTTTGGATCATTCGATAAATATTTATTACTAACTATTTATTCTATAAATGAGCTATGTATTCTATAAATAAATGTTCTTTTATCCTCATTAAAACATTTCTGTTATACGACGGGTAGGGGTATTCTCGCATCCCCTTTATTATCAGTAAGAAACAAGCCAGTCGCTTACATAATTTTTTCTTTGGAATTTTATTTTTTTCTGATAAATATAATTTAATGTCTTATGCAAACATTGTTTAAATCATCCTCTGTCATGAAAGCAAGAATATTTAAATCTCAAATCGTTCCCCCCTCTTGGATGCTTATGCAATATTTGAATTATAAATATATTAAATTAATAATAATCGAATTTTATGTTCAGAACGTTAGAGACCCTTATACTATCGGTTGGATAATCTGCAAAAAAAAAGTAAATATGAAGATGAAGAAACAATAAAATAGTTCTTTAATAAACAATAAAACATTCTTTTTATACAACAGTTCTTTAGCAATAAGCTTTTCTTCTATAACAAAGTGGCATTTGCTCAAAAAATAATTTTACAGATCTTAATCTTTTTTTTCTAATCATTCTAAATCATTTTATCCGATGTTTTAAACATTGAGTCTTCTAGTTTCAGGTGAACTGTTTCGCTGCTTATATACAAATACGATTGCAGCAGCAACGATAGCAACTGCCAGTAGAGATCCTACAACTATTCCAGCAACGGCTCCTTTTGACAAACCAGGTTTTTCAGTAGGTTTGGGAGAACCAGTTGGGGTTACTTCAGTGCCTCCAGTTTCTTTAGTGAGCTCAGTTCCAGTGACTGTGATGTTATCTGTGGTTTCTGTGCCGGTGACTGTGTTGTTATCTGTGCTAACAGAATCAGTGACGGTAATGTTATCTGTGCTTAAAGATTCGGTGATGGTAATGTTCTCTGTGCTTCCAGATTCGGTGACGGTATTGTTATCTGTGCCTACAGATTCGGTGATGGTAATGTTCTCTGTGCTTTCCGTATCAGTGACGGTAATATTATCTGTGCTTACAGAATCGGTGATGGAGCTGTTATCTGTGTGCACAGAATCGGTGATGGTACTGTGGTCTGTAACTTCAGATCCAGTGGAGCTACTATTACGAGTAGGGTCAGTTCCCTCGTCTGTGCTTTCTGAAGTTGAATTGTGTGTAGTGACTTCAGAGGTATCTACTGAAGATACTGAGCTGGAATGATGGGTAGGAGGGGCGTGGCTAGTCACTGTAAAAACAATGGAAGATATTGTGATTACATATGGTGATATTATTTTAACTATTTGAAAGATCAGATTTATAATAATTAATAATAAAGTGTAGTTGAAGATGCAACGTGCAATAAAAGAATAACCTAATTTTTTTTTTTTGGTGGTTTGGACGATTATATATATTAATGCAGTGTTAAGTGCTCAAAATACCTTCGATTGGGAGTACTGCACTTGTAGATGTTGTAAAATAAATTTATTAAAACTCTAGGGTTGTTATTGTCAAAGTCTTTACAAGTAACAACAACAACAATAATAATAATTACAATGTTCTTAACCATTCGTTAAATTTACGTGTTAGATTCAGGTAATTTCTTTTCTCAATGTAAACATGCATTTTTCGGAAAAAGCATGTGATTGCAAAATAAGGGGCTGAAAGCTTTTTTTTTGCAAAAAATGTCCGTGAAATGTTTTGTTACCGAAACGAGCTTAAATAAATAGCGATGTTTTGTAAATTTAAGTTTGAATCTTTACTCCCCCGTACATAAAATTTGAAGTAACTGCGAATGCTCATGTTTTTTATTGTTTTGTTTGCAATAAAATAGCTAAAAAAAATATACAAAAAACAACTAACTAAATACAATCAGATATATGTAGTTATTTAAACCTGTTTTATTTCTTCTTAAAAGTAAGTGTAATATAAAAAGCCTAAACTAGTACTTTAAATTGATAAAATAAAATAAAAAATAAATAGATAAAAAAATTCTGAAATCAAGGAAGTTTAAAAGATAATTCGCTCTAGAAATGGTGTTCTTTCTTTCATTTTTTGAATGAACACCATAATTTTTAAAGAACAGGATAAAAACATTTTATATTTTAATAAAATGTGACTATGAGTGGGAATTTTGTTACAAATTCAGACATTCAGAACTCTGTGAAATTGGAAGGGGTAAATTCCATTTTAAAAATTTGATTTTGCGGCAACCTAAATCCATGACTTTCTAGTTGCGCAGATACTCCATATTTATATATNATGTTAGCCTTACAATTATTAAATTATAGTTAATAATTTTAAAATTATGTTTTATGTATCTTAAAATTATGTTTATGGCATGCGCAAATTTCATGTCTCCCTTGAATTGGTTGCAATGAAATCTCAATCATTCGCCCCCAAATCTTGTTGCCAAAGGGCTCAAACTTGAATGAAGAAGTGAGGTTCAGACAGGTCACAACTAGAAGCTATTGAAACATTGTCCAAGGCAAAATTCAAGCAATTGTGTGTAACATGTTTGTTTAACATATTGAAAATTTAAGATTTTACCATTAGGCTCTTGTTTAGTAGTTGAATGAGGAGTCTTGGTTGGAGGATACGTAGATTCATCAACGTCGGAAAATATCTTGAGATTTTTCGTTGTTTCATGACCTGAATCTGTTGATATCGAAGATAAAAACTTTTTGGAAACTAGAAAGTCGTCTGATGTGGAAATGGGTCCTAATGATGATATATCAAGAATCATGGGAGTTGTGGAAACTTTAAAGTTGCCAGATGTTGTCAAAGCAGTAGTGGTTGTATCTATTAAAGAAAAAATTATTATTATTATCATTTCTATAAAGAGTGAGAAAAAACTAAGAAATTATATAAACGTAAAGTACTTAAAACGTGAGAGTTATCATAATGTAGTCGCCTATTGTTTATTATCATCTCCTTTTTTCTTCATATGGTTGAAAATGTATGGAAGAAATCACACATATACCTAAAGGTACTTTCATTCAATGTGTAGAACAGAGATATAGCCTTTCTACGTTTTTGCATGACGAAGACAAAATGTATACTTTTTAGGCATTTAAATAAACAAGAGCAAATCCTATCGTTTCTCGAATATTATGAATTACATAAAATTACATAACTAAAAATTACATGCTTTCACCATGTAATTTTAAGAACTAATAATAAGAAGATAAATAGTAAGATAGTAGTACTAATAAAAAGAAGAGCCTTCCTTCTTAATAATTGATTAAATAAAACTATTCCAAATGAAGGCATCTTTTCTCATCTGTGATTCATGTAGTTGACTTCAGTGACCATGATATTTTTAAATTTGTAAAAAAAATTTTACCTTAAAATGGAAAACTTTAATTACAACGGTAGATTAAAAATTGAACTTGTTTTAAGAACAGGGACAAAGGGAAACTGAAATAAAGCTAAATATATTGGGAATATTATTGCAACATGACCCTCGCTTCTTGATATTTAGATTTATCAACTCTTAATTACTAAGCCTTTTTTATTTCTTAAAACTAATCAAGGTAAAAGTTTTAAATTAAAATGTGCTGTAATTATTACGCTAATTTTAATAAGATACGCAGAAAAAACATTGTATCTCACTAAATCAAAAAAATCGTACGCTGCGCTGCCGCCGACGCAGTTTTGGGTGTTTAACTTTACGGTTACAAATTAGTAATTTCAAATTACGTAGGTGTGGGGGAAAATGTACAGGAAGTACCAGGAAATAAGAACAGTTTAAACTTGTAATAAAAAATACCCTGCGGCTGCTACTAAACATTGTCATTGCAGTTTTAAATGCTTTTTTCGTAATTTTTTTCTACTTTTTTCTTTTAAATAATAACTATTTATGCATTATTGTGGAAAATTTTATTTATCTCTTGGAGATCTTTATTTTATATATGCTCGTGGTTGAGTTAATGCTGAAAGAAACAAAGAAACAAAACAGAGGGAGAGAGAGATTTGATTACCATATTGCCGTATTTTACATCTTATATTGAAGCATTCGAAAATATAACAAACTTAATTCAAGAGTTCAAGTGAAATATTCCTCTTAATTGATATAATGAAAACCTATCGTTAACGAGTAAAATTACTTCGCTTTTATTTCTTCTTATTGTGTCACATTCAGTATTCCTAAGTTTAATTTTTTCAAGAACAGCCTACATAATTTTTAATTTCATTTCGTTACGATTATCAATATATTAACAAAATGTGCTTACATAAAACTATACATGTTATTGAAAAAATTGTCTTCGTTGTTTTGTAAAAAGAAAAAAATTTCGTTTAAAAAAAAAAGAAAAAGAAAAAAACAGCCAATGATTGATGAGAAGCAACTTCAAAGTTTGATGAGCAAAGCAAGAAGCACGTAAGTAAAAAAAATAATAAATAAAATTAAAAAAAAAACCTTTCTCTTTTGAAACATACAAATTATTTTATTTCGTGTCAGATTTGAATTATTTGAAATTAAGAAAAAAAAATTTATTGTCACTAAAGTCACAATACACATCTATCTTGTGAATGCAAGCATTTGTTTTAATTTTTTCGTGCAATAATTTCTCCTTTCTAACTAGAGTTAGATTCACGAAGTATTTGTGACAAAATTAAGTGCTAGCATAAATGAGCAGCCAAATATAGTTAAAATTTCGACAAAACGTAGAGAATGTGGAAAAAACGCAACACCAAACCAGAAAGAACCAACTTTGATAAGCCGAGAAAAAAAATATATGCACATTGATTATAATTAAATGCTGTTCCTTCTCGGGTCTTTCAAGAGAGCACTTACAATCATTTTCGAAAAGAAAATTTTAGAAACAAACACAATACGAACAACAACTTTAGCCGTGAATTTAAGTAATGTATTAATAGCTTAGATAATGTATTGGTCTTAATCTTGTAAAAATATTTACCTTAACAAAGCTGAAATAAATTTATTTATAACAGTGGTGTTAGATTTTAAAGGATGAGCGTACAATTACATGGCGATCAAGTTTTAGTCAGGGATGCCAGAATGTATGAAGATTTAGAGCAGCAAGAATATTATATAGGGAAAAATAAATTTTGCGAAAAAACAGTTTTTGAAATTGTTTAGATTTTTCCCGCAATGATTTTAATTTTTTTAAAACAGAACTAGAAAATAAAAGAGAGTGTTTTTGCTGAAAACCCCATAACCGCTTCCTCTAAATATCACTAGATCAATTAATATGAAGAAGGAAAAAAATAGAAACTGCAGTAGAAAGTACAATAGAAAAATAGAATTCCTCACACTAAAATGAAACTTAAATTGGTAATTAAAATATTCTTAAAAAGAGAAAGAGCAATATGGTTAAACTGTTGCTATTAAGTTCTAATACAAAATATGTACCACTAATATTTATACATCTAAAATATTATACTTTTAAATAGTTTTCATTTTTTACAAGACTGTAAAGAATGAGATAGAAAAAAGACAATTGAAAACACCTTGCTGTTTCAAAAAGTCATCTCACTATAAGGTCCATGTAAACAAGTGCTCCCCCCCCCCGGGCCCCATGCTATGGCATGACTGTTTTTTCAATAAAAGAAATTCGCTTAATAATTGGATAATAATTATAAGAACTGATGATACGGTATGCTCAATCAAAAGGTGATGTGAAGGGTGACTGGGAAGCATGATTGGTGATAAAAACTACACGTTTATTCAGTTGCGTATAATTAGTTAGGTTTATGAACGCGCGATTGACAAACGGATTTAAATAATTGGAAGAGCTCGGGTATTTCCTTATTACAAATAATTTTGAACACTTTTTTTTTTACAAACTAATATAACTTTATTGGGAACAAAAACAAACACATAAATACAAAGAATATATATTCGTCGTCAAGAGGAAAATCCTGTCCAGGCGACAAAGAAAAGTAATACAATAAATTTAAAATAGAAATTTAANAAATACATGAAACTATATTAAAAAATAACAAAGGTAACATAAGAAATTCATTTGGATTGGCACAAGACTGGTATAAAAATTCAAATGCTTCCTTTAAAGTGAAAAATAGAGATCTGAATCGTCAATGTTCATCATAAATTGAAATAAAGCACGCTAAAAGAAGGATATATTTGGATGTTTTGCAACTGGAATGGTAATTTATTATATAATTTAGGTGCTAAGTAAAAAAACTGTTTTCGTGAAATTTCTTTTATAAAGTGGGGAATCTCATATATTTCAGTTGGTCTCCTTTCAGACACATTAGTTTTTAATTTGGATATTAATTTATTGTTGTGTAAATAAAGTAAAATACGAAAATATACATTATGGCGAAATGGTAATAGGTTAATTCTCTTATATATATTGGTAGTATTTATACTTGAATTATTTTATTTATTTTTAATTATTTATTATTCTATCTGTTTAATTGAAAATGCTCTAACTAAGATTCTACGTCTAATTTTTACTAAACTTTTTGAACTTAAGAAAGATAAATAAATATTGAAATATTATGAAGCAAAATACAGAACAAAATAAAGAATTTAGCTACAATGTTCTTCTTGTTTACGTTTTTTTTTTTTAATCGATCTCTTTTGTCTTAGAAATGACATAATTGTTAAAAAACAAACCTCCCCCTATTGTTTTAAATAAGTAGATCTTGGTTAAAAGATAACACAGTGCAATGATATTTTTGAGATAAGAATTTCTTTGAAATAAAGAAAAAATGATTAGTTTTAATTTTAACAATAGAAGCGATGTTATCTTTTTTGCCTAATCACAAAAAATGTTCACCTTTAGTTAGTTTTAATCGTTTTCGTTAATAGAATTTATCAACTTATTTATATCACGCTAATTTTAACCTACCTATGCATTAAATAAACTAATTGCATTTTATAAAGCACAAAAGAAGTCTCAATTTTTTAATTATTGTAGTTAATTCTAAGAGCAAAAACAATTTACAGTAGGAGTTAATATGCGTAGTACAATTTGGAAACATGTTTTCAAGAAAATGTTAAAAGAACATTAATGTGGAATTTTTCAGGTGTTTCCAATGAAAACACTTTGTTGTACTACACTGGAAATCAACAAGTTTTAACAATTTTTTATCGCGTAGAAATAACAAAGAAATTGTTGCAAATTTTTAATGTGGTAAAACAATATTTTTGAATAATTTATATTTGAATAATATTTTAAATTTTATTTTAAAGTTGCTTTATGACAAAAGATGTCTAGCACAAGTTTTTAAGTATCTGTATTAGGAGATAAGTCTTTTTTTTTTTAAAGTAAGCAATGGATCAAATGACCCTGAAGCACCCCAGGGATCTTTCCTTCCCCCTTCTTATACTTAGTTTAAAACACCCCTTAATCAGCTTCCTAGGTTTACGTTTGGCACATCAAAATGATTCCGTCTGATCTGCCTTTACACTTCCTCTGGTTTTTTGTTCTGGTGCTTTGAGACACATTGTACAAAAATTTACCTTAAAAAAGGTTTTAATTTTAATTTTTTTTAAATTTTTATTTTAAAAAATTATAAAAGTAACAAACCCAAAAATTAACTTTTGATGGGTACGAAAAGTAAAACTTGAGATATAAATATTTTTCTTTAGAAACAAATATTTTTCTTTTGAAGTTTATTCACAGAAGATCAAAGTATAAATAAATCTGTAAATACTTCTAAGACGAAATAAATGTATTAACGAACGTAGACAAGTAAAATTTTTTCAATTTACTCTATTTTATTATACTTTGAATCTATTTACATTAAAAAATCATAAACACTGCTGTTTTGGGTGTTCAACTTAGTATTTTATTTTATTTTGCAGCATAAAACTTATAGTTGTTGTTGTAAGCCATGATGGCAAAAGGTGCGATTGCCCTTGTTTTGCAGTGGCGTCATCTATGGTCAAGAATTTGAAATTTAAAATTGCAATAGTGTATAGAAAATTTGCAGAAAATACCGCAGAATAAAATTCTATTTAATTCTAATTAATTTCTGTTTAATTCTAACTAATTAATAAAATTCTATTTAAAATAAAATTAATATTCCATAACTAGTTCGAGAATTATTATCTGTTTAACTTTGAGTAAAAAATGCTGCTTACGCTGCCCTACAGACCACAGAAATGCAAGTACAGAGTTGAAATTTGACGAGTTGAAATGGACTATGAATTTAACATAAGTTTTTAATCAAAATTGAAATTTGTTAGAAAGCTCCTCTCCTTCATGTGTGCCTATGTTGGGCCCATGAAAGCTGTAATGCTACGAAGGAAGAAGATAATTATATATCCAAGACTGAGTAAGGGTTTTACGGGACCAGGACAATATTTATTTCGCCTTCCATTCTCAAAGCACAAAAAACCGTATTTTCATATTTCGTAGAATCCATTTATACGAAATTGTAGTCTTTATATTAATGTAAAGAAATTCTGTGCCATTTTCTTTTGAAAAAATATTGATAAACGCTATAATTTTTGGCAAAGAATTTTGTTTGTGTCCTCAGCTATCTAAGGCTCAGGGACAATTGTCTTTCTCTTTCCGCTTTCCTCCATGAGTACGCCTATGATTACATCACAAGTAAATTACAAGACTAAATCTCTTAAATTGTCATATAAAATAGAAATACTGGGGTTTTTTTTCTTTAACATTCTAGTATTTCTAAATTTCCAATTGAATCAACATATGTATTTAGTTTTACTCCACTAGTGGGGTAACTTTTCTGGATTGGTTGAATTTTTCCAGAAAGGAATCATTTATTAAAAAAAGTAGTACATCAATGACTTTTCGAGAATGGTATATTGTATACAACAAAATGCGTGCAAATTTACGTTAATGCTACAAGGAATTTTGCTCTTTTACACATGTATTTCTATGATTTATGATCCTTCTACATATGTCATTTCTTGGAAAGTAATGTTAAGTGGTGATTACGCACACGTTAAAATATCGGCATTTTATGTATATAATAGTTGTCTATTTGTCACTATACTTTTTACTTGTATAGTAAATAGTTAGTGAGCCTCAAACTCTTTTTAAGAAATTGATGTTCAACACGACTAAAAAGATTGGGAATCGCTGCCTTAGGGGTTGGGGAGCTCTTTAGGGGTGGAGTGCGTAGAACGCTGGTATAAAAGTATCAGCTGAATCTCATCAATCTTTAGAACCAAATTGTCACTAGGCTAATCATGTGTGCTTCGTATTAAAATTTTACGCAGAAAAAAATCCACTAATGTTAATCCTGTAAATAATGTACATAACGTATCAAGTGTTCGATAGCAGATAAAATTTTAAGAACTTCAATTATTTTTTCTGGATTAGACTTACCAGGTATATGGTACATGAAATTAATAAAGACCGTCTTTGTTAGAGTTTTAGAACATAAAACCCAACATATAAGTAAAAATTTTCTCAGAAACAATTTACAGAAAATCTACTTTGAAGTGTAGTTAAATAGTGTTTTTTTTTTGTATACAATATATTTGTAATTAAAACACCGATTGAATAAAAGATAATAAGCAAGAAATCATTGAACAATAATATTTACCATTCAATCCTATGAGAATGCCGAGTTTGTGCAAAAGTTCCATAAAATCCATTTTTATAAATTAAAGTTTTGCATTAAACTATATTTCCCGGAAAAAAACCCAACTAAATCGTAAAATGAAGGTAAGCTTTTCAGAAATTCAACTGAAAAGAATTTCTGAAGAAGCAAAACTGAAAAACTTAAAGAATAAAACAGAATAGATCCTAAAGAATGGAACTGAATTATACTTGAAAAATGGGATAGGAGCAAGAAATGTTGTCAGAAATATATCTGAAAAGAATTTATAAACTAAGTAAAACAAAGCAACTGTTATCTTCTGATTTTAAGAAGCCGTTAAAGAAACCGTTTTATGAAAGAGTTATCTTCAAAAAATTTTATTCTTTTATTCGCGAGTATATTCACAATTATAAGTAAATAATCTGCAAAAAGTGCAAACGAAGTAGAACTCATATAAGAAGGGGAAACTGCTTTTATAGAAGGAATTTATTTTTAAGAATATCATTATTTAATTTTTCGGCTAGATCGTGATTATGCATAACTAACTACGATGACCAGGTAATCCAAAGTTACAAAGCCCAGTAAGAAGACAAATTTATGCTAAATCACCATTTTTTTAAAAATCTTTATTATAAAAATGTCCCAGAATAGCGTGTTACACAACAAAATCAAAAGAACTATACGCGACAATGGCGTAGCAAGTAATTTTTTGTTGTTTGTTTAGCCGATATTACTTGTGTATTCGGGCACATAAATACAAGACTATTTCACCAACAGCTCATATTACTGATAGTTCTCTTCAATTACTGCAATCACGCAGGTAACTTTTTTTAAATGTATGACATTAATTCTTAAAAAAATGCAATATTTAACTTAGACTGCCATTTTGTAAAATGGTTGGTCAACTAAAAAGACTGCAGACATGCAAAATATTTGTCGACATTTCGACGTAATAAATGTTTTGCGTCAAGAGAAAATATTGTAAACATAAATAATAAATTGTACATATTTTCTAATTCGCACTAGCTGAGATCGGAATTTTTAAATTTTTTCCTCCTCTGAAATAAAATTCAAACGAAGGAGATAATTTTATTATTCCTTTATCACGGAAAATGTAGATATTTCAACTGTCTTATTAAATATGCAAACCTGTATGATTACATGTATGAACAACAAAAACGATTCGAAAGAGAAGAAATTTTAGAGATTCTTAAATTGCATGGGGGGAGTATAACCTCGTATCCTCCCTTTGATTACACTTACCAAACTAATTCACTGTTAGTATTCGGATATTAACATTATTTCATTAATTTATTATTATAAAAAATTTCTTATTATTATATTATTCTGATATTAGTATTATTATATATTAACATTATCATTTTATTATTATAAATCATTCTTTGTTATATATTATTCGGATATTAATATTATTATTATATATTGATATCACTATTATATATTAGCATCATTATTACATTATTAATTTATTACTATAAATAATTTTTAATTATTATATTATTCGGATATTAATATTATTATTATATATTGATGTTATTAGTATATATTAACATTATTATTATATTATTAATTTATTACTATAAATAATTTTTAATTATTATATTATTTGGATATTAATATTATTATTACGTATTAATATTATTATTATATAATAATATAACCAAAAAATTCATAAACCAGTATTTACCATCTCCATGGATAAGGCCTAGGATAATACCAAGTTCGTGAAAAAGTGCGGTTATATTCATCTTTGTAAATGAAAATCTTCACAAAAACTGTGAAAGATGTGTAAACTCGTAAGAAAACAAATGAAAAGGATTATTTGCTGAAAGTATTCGGTTTTAAGTATATCGTTATCTGCCGATCAATGATTTTTCGCACTTGAATGGAATGATTTATCAGGAGGAGACTAATAATGAATGCGATAGGATAACAATATAAATAGTTTTCTAAAAACAAATGCCTGACTTTCACATTAGTGATGCAAACAGGCGTTTTCTTTATAATTTCCCCAATCACATGGCTCAAATTGATAATGAATCAGAATTATCATTGTTTATGAAATTTTTTTCAATATCTATGAAACGAAACTCGATATTCAGGTGCAACAAATATTACCTAATTGAAACACTCTGTAGCAAACTTATAGGAAGAGTTTCGAGTAAAAATAAAGGGTTGTCAACACGAAAAAAAAAAAAAAAAAAAAAAAAAAAAAAAAAAAAAAAAAAAAAAAAAACATAACCGCAAGTTATTCATTTGTTGATATTTTTTTTAAAATTGCAGATTAAACTTTAATTATAATATGAATAGCAACAGCCAAAATATTTTAAATAAAAGAATTTCCAATGTACTTTACTAAAAAAAAAATTTTATGTCCTGCGTTTAATTGTTGTACTATTTCCTTTAAACAACTTTCTACATAATAAAAAATCCCTTCACCAAAAAAAAAATAGTAAAAATTAATACTATTGTTTATGTTAAAATAAATTTGTAATATTATCATCATTAATATTTTGTATTTAATACATAGTTTTGTAGAGTTTTGAATCAAGACTAGTTCAGTATTTATATGATTATTTCATTGCTATTATTCTCGCAACTCATAAATGAATGACATGCGATTATTAATATTGTTATTGAAATAATTTTAAATTTTAACATTTATGATAATTGTAATAAATTAGCTGTGTTAAATTTTTTACATATAATTTCCGAAGTACCTAAAAGCTTTCGAAAACCCGTAAAACCCAATGATTTGAATTTTTGTTGAACCAAAATAAAAAAAGCATTTTATCTGTTCAAATTAGATGAAATATTTTAGGTTTTTTTTTATAATAGAAATGAATAATTAAAATTTTTTAATTAGATAAAAAGCAATGTATTTTATTTCATCCAACTTTCGTGTAGTGTAGATATTTTTACTCTAAGTCTTCAGTGTTCGGTTAGTAAGTATGAGAGCACTAAAATATTATGACCTTGCACTCTTACTTCGTTGGTTAAAAATTCAAGAGTTCACAAATAAAGTTTAGCAAGCAAATGTCGCCAAGATTAAGATGATGCTTTCTTATTCACCTTCTGGAATTTCTTACTCATGTTGACAATGCTTTTACGAGTAAATGATTTCAGTAGATTAATCATTCTCTTTGAGTGTATACAATTTCTGACAGTGAAATCATTTCAGACTGGTTTTCCTTTCATACTAGTGGTAAAGTTTTAAACCATTCAGTTTCTCAAAACAGTTACATATTTCTGTTTCCATAGGAAATTATTGGACCATATTTGAAAGTTTTCTCGCATATGTAACAATTCTCAGTAGTGTTTCTTCTTAGGTAAACGTGCAGCAAGAAAAAAAAAATCGAAATTTTCTGGATAACTTTTTATTTTAATGATCGGATTTTCCTTTATTAGGACTCAAATAGTGCTTGAGAAATCAAATTTTAAATATTTAAAATTGAGTAAAGAACCTATCCGGTCAATTTTATTCAAATCTTGTATTTCATCATTTAAAATGTCGTACTTTGAAATAATGTAAAAATTTATCGATTTTACTATTCAGAGTTTTTTTTTGACCTCGTTTAAAATAAAGTATTAAAAATATACTGAATATTCATATTATTTTTTAGTCCTCGTTGAACAGCCGATCCAATTTTTGGGTTTACGACTACTAATGTTCAAACTCCGTAACCTTGAAATTTTGAATCCAAACCAGAAAGCAAAGAAATTCCTGGATCAAGTATTGGGAGAAATTTGCTTACGTGGATGACTTTTTGATGGAACTAGTCCGCATTTGCGTTACTTGGAGAGGAAAACCACGGAAACCTTCCACTGTTACCCTGACGGCAAGGGCACTCTAACCCATTATCCGTTGACAAGTGAGGATATTCATGTCAGCACCGCGGTCGGTGCGAACCTGGGGGTGGGATTCGTATTGACCTGCCATTGCTGGAATTCGAACCCAGTTCATCTCATTGAAAGGCGGACGCTCTATCTATCTCTTGAGCCACCACGACTCCACTAAATATTTATTAAAAACTATCTTTACTTGGGATTATCTTTGGATAAACAAATTTTATAATTGCGTGCAAAAAAGTTTTCGATCACTTAAAAAATTCGCGGCAAATGGCGAAATAAGCAAGATTTAAAATTAACATTAAGAAGTTTTAATTTTCGGCCGTTCTACTGACCTTACTATTGGGGCTATATTTTTCGATAATATTTTGAGGGTCAGTAATCAGAGTGTGAATCATTCGGGGAAATTACGTTCTTGTGACTGATTTCGTAACCTAGATTATAGTCTGCCCTATTAATTTGCAAATTTAAGGTAAGGATTCAAACCACTAAAATTTAGTCCTAGTACGTGAAAATCCGACCATTTGAGCAAAAGTTATTCAGGGTGTTCTGTTTTTGTTTTTACTTCACGTTTCGCAAAAGTTCTTACATGTCGTAAGCATTCACATTCTATAAAACTACCTGAAATTTATGATACGAATGCACTACGTTAGATGTAATGAGTATATCTCGCTATATTTAATTACATGAGTGATGAGCCAAAAATTACATTTGGTAACTTGATTTCATGCAAATCTTTTAAAAGACTTATAAACTTTTGTGAACATGAAAATATGATTTTAGTCTTAAAAATCTTTATAGAAAGTGAAAATTAAAATAAAAAATGATAGAAGCAGCGTAAATTTGGAAAAAAAGGTTATTTTCAATAAAAACTAGAGCAATTTTATTGGATTTAAATATTTTTTGAAAACTTTTTTAACATTAAATACAATATTTTTATTTAATATTAAAAAAGTTCTAAAATTATAGTAGTAATTTTAGCAGCCTTAGATTTTTTCTAAGAAACTCTTTTCAATATTAAATAAAATTTTTTTATAAATTCTAGAAGTATGTCTCCTATAAGCTGAAAAAAAATCTAAAATATTTGTAGTAATTGAATATAATAAAGGTTTTGCCCACCGTCCTGAAGCACTCTTCCAGCTATTTTTCGCTGTTCAGAAAGAACAAGGACATAAACAGCCATGTTTTTATTTTTGCGTTTGAATATTTATATTTTTTCCAGAACTTTTTATTTCTTTGTTTTAAAACGTTACAAATAAAATAAGCTTAATATTTGTCTGCTGTTCTTGTTAGCGAAATATATTCATGAAACTTCCTTAACTGATTCCAGAATAGGTTAGCCAATCTTCTAGTTATTTATGTATACAAAAGGCGAAGTATAGGTAAATGTTAAAATAGATAGAGTATCATTTATAGAGTATCATTATAGCAGTATCATTTATTGTTAATTCATATATACAAAAAATAATACTCAGAAATAAAGTTTCTGAGTTATGTATTGGTGCTAACTCAGAACAGCAATTTATTAAAAGAACTTTTTTTTTCTTACGAGTATTAAAATTCAAATTTCAAATGAAGCAAACGATCTTGTTTTGAAAGACCAAACTTATGGACGAGTACATTCCAGAAAATGGGTGCATTACCGAAGTTTTAATTAGTAATCAACGATCCTTTTTACCTTTTTTTTAAAAAAAAATAGACCGATATTCACTTCACCTGTTTTTTTAAACAGCTGCTCTTACTAGCACTCATGAGGAAAAAAATATCCAAATAACATCTTGAAGCAGACGATTATAATATATGTATATTAGGTCAATAATTTAAAATCTCTCTCCCTCTTTTTAAAGGGGACTTTTTATCTTAGAAGAACACATTTAAATAAACTAAAGTACAACAAATTAATAATAATAGGCGGTAGAAGATTCGAATTGAAAAAAAAAGAAATAGGATAGTGGATGTTTATTTCCAATGAGCTGCATAATCAGTCTTCCCGATGAGCAGACCTAGTGCGGTTCTCCAGAAGTGGTATCCACTCTTTCAGGACCACCACAATGGGTGAGATAGGGTTGGCCATGTTAATTTGGACGTCTAGTTTCTGCCACACTAGAAGGCAGCACCGAGACTCTATTTGGATACTAAAGTGCACTAGGAATTTTAATTTTGCCGGAAATGCCAAGAGCCAATAAGGCACTTCAGGGATCTTTTACATGCTGCATAATCATATGACACGGCCGCTGAGGATTTTCTGCATAGGATAGTGGATGTAATAATCTTAATTTTTGCTCAGCTATTAAAATTTTTTTTTTTTTTAAATTTTGCTATCTACACCGGAAAAATTGGCATTTAGGCAATACATGTGGTGGGCACATACCCCCCGTGCCCCTCGATGCTACGCCAATGAATGCAACAGTATCATATATTTTTAATTAAGTTAATAGAATCACTGCAACTAGACCATAAACATACGTTTTTCTGATTGAACAACACTGAAAGGAAAAGAAAAAATATTTTTAATTTAGATTTCTCCAAGAGTAGCTAGCAGGGCTGAAGGTTTTTCTGCATTCAACGATTCAATTTCCATCGAAACCACTGTTTTTCGACTTATCATTGCTTTTAGATATTGTTAAAAATGTTAAATACTAATAAAATCTTTAATAGAGAATTATCCATTTAAATTAAGTCATTTATAAAATAAGATTGAAAACATTGTGTTTTATCTAAAGGCTTAAAGCTTGAGTTAGACTTAGTTATGCTAGTAGTTAAGAATTATTATTGACAACCAACAAAAACTTAAATTTTTGATCTTAGATAGTAAAATAGATAGTAAAGTGAAGAAGTATTAATATTAGTAGATAAAGCGGAGCTTTATCTGGAAAAACGTTCATATTGGTCATAGTTCACTGTTACTTCCCTTTTAACAGTACTAGTTAAGATATGAGGGAGGGAAAAAAAACATTTTTATAGCTTCGATTGCTGGTCAAAGATCATTATTATATTCTCGCCATTTGTTTTTTTTTTCTTTCTTTTTTTTCCCTTCAATTTTTGGTACTGTTTGTTCGCAACAGAGAAAAATTATTAAAAACATATACTAGAA